AATGTTGATGTGGGGTGTGGTGCCTAACGTCTTAATCTTGACATTTGGGGAGGCACAAGCGGGAGGATCACAGGCCAGGAGTTCATTACGAGCCTGGGCAACACAGCAAGACCCCCATCCCTACAAAAAAAAATTAGAATGTTGTGAAGATACTGCAAAGAAGAAAGGAGGAAAATGTTTGTGGAAAGGTCTGGGCTCTGGAGCAGACTGGGTACAGATCCTGGGCTGCCCATCACACTGGTGGAGAGCAAGTGACCTATTCATATTTCAGGCTCGAATCCCACATACAGTGGCAGAAATTCTGCCCATCTCTTAAGCATATGTTAAAAGTTAAATAACATGATAAATGTAAAGAGTCCACTGTTTTGACACAACAAAAATAAACTATTACTGGGGTAAAATAGTGGCCACTTGTTCATGGCTTTCTGTCTTCCACCTGGTTTGAACACCAGCGCCTGGCTGTGTGCCCTGTCCACCTCCTATTAGAACCCCCATGCTCTGTCACCTCACTGTGCTGTGCTGGCCACTGCTCTGCTCCCCACACCAGACTGCAACCTCTCCAGAACACAGCACACAATAGGAGTTTTGCATTCCTGTGCAAGTCGAAAGAAATGTGGGTTTTTATTTCTCCTGGATAAATACCTAGGAGTGGAATTGGGTGAGATGGTAAATGTATAGATGTTTAGTTTTATAAGAAACTTCTAGACCTTTTCTCATGTAGTCATTCCATTTTGTACTCCCACCAGTAATGATGAGACTCCCAGTTCCACATCCTTACCAGTCCATGGTTTTGTCAGTCTTTTTAAATTTTACACATTCTGGTGAGTAATGGTGTCTTAGTTCTTTCTGTGTTTCCCTGATGACTAATGATTTAAGCCATTTATATATATTTCCTTTGCGAATTATCTGTACACATCTTTTGCCCATTAAGAAAAACTGGATTATCCCTTTTTTGAATTGCTTTCTTTTCTTCCTACATTTTTAATAGATTTTGGGGGGAGCAGTTTTAGACTTACAGCAACACTGCATGGGAAGTAAAGAGTTTTCCTCCTCTTCCACCTAATCCCTCACTTGTCCTTTATTAACATCTGCCATTAGTGGGACAGATTTGATTCAACTGATGAGCTGATTTTGACGCATTATTCACTATAGCTCATGGTTTACATTAGACTTTATTGATTGTGTTGTATGACCTCTATCAAATAGAAGAAGAGGGAATATTTCCAATCCGTTTTAAGAGGCCAGCATAACTCTAATACCAAAATCTTGTAAAGTCATTACCAAAAAAGAAAATCATAGGTAAATCTCTCTCATGAACATCAATGCAAAAAAAATTATCAGCAACCTGAATCCAGCAATACACAAATAGGATAATATGACATGAACAAGTAGGGTTTATTACTGGAATGCAAGGATAGTTAAATATTTGAAAACCAATCTATAATTTACAGTAATAGAATAGAGGTGAAACCCCATATGATCATTTCAGTAGATACAGGAAAAAAGCTTTTGATGAAATTCTCTAACATTTGACAAATATGTAATGACACATAGCCACCATTACAGTATCATACAGAATAGTTTTACTCCCCTAAACACTTCTTGTGCTCCACCTATTGGTCCCTCCCTCCCTCTCTCATCTCTGGCAACCACTGATCTTTTTACTGTCTTCATACTATGGCCTTTGCCAGAATGTCACATAAAATTATACAGCAGGTGCCCTCTTCACATTGGCTGCTTTCATATAATATAATATGCATGTAAGGTTCTTTTGAATCTTTTCATGGTTTGATAACTAATTTCTTTCCTCACTGAATAATATTGTATGGATGTATTGTCTTTTTTATTGCTGAGTGACAGGAATTCTTTGCCCTGGACACTAGTCCATTGTCAGATATGTTTGGTAAATTATTTTTGTAATTTGTGGCTTGCCTAATCATTTTCTTTATGGTGTCATCTCATTCGCAGAATTTTGAGGAGTTTCAATTCTTTTGTTATTACCTTCTTTGACCCAAGAAACCTTTGCCTATCCAGCATCATGAAGATATTTTCAGTGTTTTTCACCAAATGCTTTATTGTTTTAGCTCTTATACTTAAAGATGCCTCTCAATATTTATGTATGGGGTGTGGCATGGGTCAGGTTTCTGATACTTGTTCTATATGGGTATTCCAGCACCATTTGTTAAAAAGACTTTTCCTTCCCCATTAGATTGCTGTTGAAAACACGGTCATTGTAGAAGTGGGGCTCTATTTCTGAGCCATCTTTGTTGTTACGCTGCTTTTTGTTCGTCCTCCTGCCAGTTCCTTACTGTCTTGATGAATGGAGCTTTCCAACTTTGTTCATCTCCAAGATTGCTTTCAATATTGTAGTTACTTTGTATTTCTCTGTAAAATTTAGAATTAGCTGTATGGTATTAGCTCTTATACTTACATAAAATCCATCTCAATATTGTTGGTCTCTTCTAAGAAACCTGGGATTATCAGATTAAAAAAATTTAAACATAAAATTTGCCATGTTAGCCATTTTTTTTCCCCTAGACAGAGTCTTGCTCTGTTGCCCAGGCTGGAATGCAGTGGCACAGTATTGGCTGACTGCAACCTCCACCTCCCAGGTTCAAGCGATTCTCCTGCCTTAGCCTCCTGAGCGGCTGGGATTACAGGCACGTGTCACCATGCCTGGCTATTTTTTGTATTTTTAGTAGAGACAGGGTTTCACCATGTTGGTCAAGGGAGTCTCGAACTCCTAACCTCATGATCTGCCTGCCTCAGCCTCCCAAAGTGCTGGGATTATAGTGCCAGTAAGTACATTCACAATGTTGTGTAACCATCACCACTAACTAGTTCTGAAACTTTTCCATCATCTCAAACAGAAATTCTGAACCCATTAAACAATAACTTCCCATTCCCCCACTACTTCCAGCCTCTGATAACCTCTATTCTGCCTCTATGGATTTGTCTGTTCTGGACATTTGAATATAAATGAAGTAATAAAATATGTGGTCTTTGGTGTATGGCTTATTTCACTTAGTATGTTTTCAAGATTCATCCATGTTGTAGAATGTATCAGAATCTCATCCTTTTTTGTGGGAGGGTAATATTTCATTGTGTGTGTATTCCACATTGTGTTTGTCTGTTCATCTGTTGGTGGATATTTGGGTTGCATCCACCTTTTGGTTACTAACGTAGTGAATAATGTTGCTAAGAACATAGGTGGCCAAACACTTGAGTCCCTGCTCTCAATTCTTTTGGGTGTCTATGTAGGAGTGGAGTTGCTGGACAATATGGTAATTCTGTATTTAACTTTTTGAGGAACTGCCAAACCATTTCATTTTGAGGAACTAACTGCCAGGCTGTCTTGTTGTACATTCCACTAATAGTGTATGAAGGTTCCAATTTTTCCACTTTTCCCAACACTTATTTTCTGATAGAGAATTTTAAAAGTGTTACAGTCATCCTAGTAGGTGTGAAGTGGTTCCTCATCATGGGTTTGGTTTTCATTTCCCTAATGACCTGTGTTGAGTATCTCTTTATGTGCTTATTGGCCATCTGTATATCTTCTTTGGAAAAATGTTTATTCCAGTCCTTTACCTACTTAAAACAGTGGGTTAGGTTGTGGCATTGCTGTCTGCTTGGATATTGTTCAATCAAATCTGTAAATCAATAGGCAGAATTAAAATGTTAGTATTGAGTCCTCTAATCCATGAATATGGTATATTTCTCCATTTATTCAAATCGTTAATTTCTATCAGCAAGGTTTTGAGATTGTAGAGTAGAGATCTTACATATCTTTTCAACAGTTATCTCACACTATTATGAAGTTGCTATTTTGAAAACATTTTCTTTTCTGGCCAGGTGTGGTGTCTCACACTGGTAATCCCAGCACTTTGGGAGGCCAAGGTGGATCTCTACAAAAGTAAAAAAAAAAAAAAATTAGCTGGATGTAGTGGCATGTGCCTGTGGTCCCAGCTGCTTGGGAAACTGAGGTGGGAGGATCACTTGAGCCTGGGAGTTTAAGGCTGCAGTGAACCGTGACTGTGCCACTGCACACTAGCCAGGGTGACAGAGCAAAGTGCTCTCAAAAACATGTTAATATATAAAAGACAGTTGACTTCTGTATACTAACCTTGTATTCTGCAGTCTTGTGAACTTATTCCAGTAGTTTTCTAGATTTTTTTAGAATTTGCTGTGTAAAAAGTCATCTGATAACAGTTGTACTTCTTTTCTGCCTTTATGCTTTCTCTGTATGCCTTTGTTTCTTCTCTTCATTTTTGCCTTATTGCAATGATTGGGACTTCAAGAACAATATAGAATAGTATGGATCGGCACCCTTGTGTTGCTCTCAGTATTTGTGGAAAAGCTCTAATATTTCACTGAGCTGTAAGTTTTTCATCCATGACCTTTTGAGGATGTTCCCTGTTATTCCTCTCTGCTGAGTGTTATGATGATTTCATCAAATGCTTTTTCCTGTATCTATTGCAATGATCATATGGGATTTCTCCTCTATTCTGCTATTATTGTAAATTATAGATTGGTTTTCAAATATTTATCCTGCATTCCAGTAATAAACCCTACTTGTTTATGTCATATTATCCTATTTGTGTATTGCTGGATTCAGGTTGCTGATAATTTTTTTTTGCATTGATATTCATGAGACAGATTTTTTTTTGAGACGGAGTTTTGCTGTTGTTACCCAGACTGGAGTGCAATGGCACGATCTCGGCTCACCACAACCTCTGCCTTCTGGGTTCAAGCAATTCTCCTGAGTAACTGGGATTACAGGCACATGCCACCATGCCCAGCTAATTTTTGTATTTTTAGTAGAGACGGGGTTTCACCTTGTTGACCAGGATGGTCTGGATCTCTTGACCTCGTGATCCACCTGCCTCGGCCTCCCAAGGTGCTGGGATTATAGGCCCACCACGCCTGGCCAGATTTACCTTTTTAAAATTTTTTAAAATTAAAAAAAATTTTTTTATTATTTTTTTATTTTTTTTATTCAGTCTCCGTAGACACTGCCAAAAATTGCCAATGTCGACTGTATTTCAAGTTGTCATGGCGGGTTATTGGGAAAAGTTTTCAATTAGCAAGTCGTGCCTTGGATACACCTCATTGGCTACGATACTGCCAATGTGCGAAGCTGCCTCTGATTTTCCTTTTCAGCAATGACTTCGTAAGGTTTTGGTATTAGAGTGATGCCGGCCCCTTAAAAGGGATTGGAAGTATTCCCTCTTCTTCTTTTTGATAGAGGTCGGACAAGATTGGTGTTATTTCCGCCTTAAATGTTTGATACAGTTTCCCAGGGAAACCATCTAGGCCTAGAGTTTCCCTTGTGAGAAGATAATACTTAAGTGAGTATCAAGTTCTTTTTCTTATTGAATGAGCTTTGTCTATTTGTCTTCAAAGGAAATTTTCCATTTTATCTGTGGTGGTAAATTTGTTGGCATAAGTTGTTGATATTCTTTTTATCCCTTTAATAATTGAAGGCTCTTCAGTAATAGCCCCCTTTTCATCTCTGATTGGTTGTCTTCATGTCCATAGGATCTGTAGTGACAACCAAAGTTTTTTCCCTGCCCATATGGGAAATATGTCCCGTCTGTCCTTGATTAATCTAATGAAGTGTGTATCAGTTCTGCTGATCTTTTCAAAAGCCAGCTTTTGGGTTTGTTAGTTTTCTCTATTCTGTTTTGTTCATTTATTCTTATTTTTATCATTTCTTTCCTCTACTTTTTTTTTTTTTTGAGACAGTCTCACTCTGTTGGCCAGGTTGGAGTGCAGTGGGGCAGTCTCAGCTCACTGCAACCTCTGCCTCCTGGGTTCAAGCAGTTCTCCTGCCTCAGCCTCCTGAGTAGCTGGGAATAAAGGTGTGTGCCACCATGCCCAGCTAATTTTTGTATTTTTAGTAGAGTCAGGGTTTCACCAGTTTGTCCAGGCTGGTGTTGAACTGCTGACCTCATGATCCGCCTGCACTGGCCTCCCAAAGTGTTGGGATTACAGGCCTGAGCCAGTGCGCCCGACCTCTTTCCTCCACTTTCTTTGGGGTCTACTTGGCTCTTTTTATAGTCATCTAAGAAAAATTTAGGTCAATTTTAGGCTTTTCTTCTTTTCTGTAAGCATTTAAAGGTATAAGATGACTTTTAAGCACTACCGTGGCAGTATTCTATAAATTTTGAGGTTTAATTTTATGCAGTTCAAAATATTTTTCCAATTCTTTTTGTGATGTCATCTTTGATCCAAGAGCTATTTTAGAAGTGTTTAATTTCTAAATATTCGTGGTTTTCTAAAATATTTTGTTGAGTGGATTTAATTTCACTGTGGTAAGAGAAGGTCTTCTGTATGCATTCAGTCCTTTTAGATGTAATGAGATTTATCACCCAGCATATGGTTTTCATAGTCAACGTTCTGCTGAGGGAGAGTAAGCACTCTAAAAAGTATCAGGTCACAGTTTTTGATAGTGTTCATGTCATCTATGAATTTACTATTTTTTGTCAAATCATTTTAATTATTACGAGAAGGGTGATAAGATCTCTGTGCTAATGGAATCGTTTTTTGTGGTAGGTTGTTGGTCTATCTACCTACTTCCATCTCGAGTTTATAGTTTACCTTTAGGAGAGTCAGTTCCGAGGGGAGCTGTTACACAGCCATTCCATTATTTAACCTTGACTTGAATAAGTACTACAAAATGTTTCAACACAAAACACTTGAGCAGGGACTGACACACTTTTTCTGTATAGGGTTAGTTAATGTTTTAGACTCTGTAGGCCACGTGTGATTTCTGTTGCACCTTTTTCCCACCAGCTCTGCTTGTGGGCCAGATGTGGCCTGTCGGCCACAGTTACCAACCTCCGATCCATCTCATCAGGAAGCTGCCCACTGAATCAAGTAGCTGTTTTAAAGCATGGGCTGAATGATAGGGGTTTTTACACTTATATGCAGGGTTCCATGTTTAGAACACTGCAGTTAAAACTGACCCGCAGGAAATGTTTTGGCCTGTAATTCCTAAGTATTTCTGAAATGTTCTTCCCTTCCCTTCTTCCCCCAAGCTTCATGCTGTGGGACAAGGTGGAAGAAACAGACCTTGCCCCCAGGGTGCTCATGGTCCTGGAAATGTGCTTCTCTCTAGCTGTAAGTCTGGGAGAAACTCGTCTGTGATGGTGAGCTCAAGCCGTGAGAGACAGCACCACACACTGAATATACCAGCAGGTGCCAACTGATACTCACTGATGACTGGGAAAGGCTTTGTGAAATGAAGTCCATTATTTCCAAAGCATGTGGAACAATTGTAAGTAGTTACTAAAACTTCTACTGGATAATTTTTGCTAACAAAATGTTGGCAAACTTATTTTAGTTGCTAATGTGTTTGGTAACTCAGAATTTATCATATATTATGAGAATTAAGTCGATTTTTACTGATTGACAACTACATCAGGGAGGCTTATACATGAGTTAGGAATTTTTATTGTAGAGAAAGGTAAAGGGTAAATCCTGCTAACACAAGCATCATTACACAGGGACTACGCACATGTTTTTCAGTGGCCTCCAATACCAACGTAAGAGAAGCAAGGAATATTATGACTAATGAGATGGGAGTTTATACCCCTTTCAAAGATCTGTGGTCCTATGACTCATTTACATTTAATGTATATAATGTTTTATGGTTAAATGATTAAAACCCATAATAGACTGCCTCAGAGTAGTTGACTCTGGCATTTGACTTCAGATCAGCTCCTGATGGAGACTGGCCCTCCAGCTCTGCTCAGCACTGCTGGTCTCCAGGATTTACCTGTGACTTCCTCCAGAAGTGTCATTGGTTATTTCCATTCTATTTTAGGTTCTAGACTACTGCTATTGATGTGTCGTCCCACTGCAGTGCATTTGAAGAAAGGTAAGTGCTGTCTACCTTCTTATAGATGGCATAAAGTGTCAAGAGAGCATTCCTTTCTCCCCTTGGACTCAGGGTCGGAGGAAAAGTGTCCTCCTTTCCTTCCCACTGATGGCTTGGCTCTTGTTAATGCGTCATCCTGCAGGTTTAAAGGTGTCTTCACTCGTTTCTGTTGATACTTCCGTACAGTTTGGAAATGCCTTAGACAACTGTGAGGGCTAAAAGCTTCAAGCGCTCCAGGGATCAGATATGACTTGAAAAGGCAGGTTTCCTTTTCCTGGCCAGCTGCTGACCTGATACTCACCCATGGTGTTGGGGTAAGGCAGAAGCCACTCACTGGCTGTTCTGGGGAAAGTTATGTAACCTGTTTCCCTTACCCAATGCCTTGACTGCAGCCGTGTGGGGAGGAGACCCTGAGCCGGGTCGTCCAGCTAAGGCACACCACGGCACACCATGCCACACCACAGCACGGCACGCCACGCCACACAACATCACACACCACAGCACAGCACGCCATACCACACCACACGATGGCACACCACGGCATGCCACGCCACAGCACGCCAGATTCCCGAACATAGAAACCGTGAGATGAGAAACATCTGCTGTTTTAAGCCACTATGTTTTGGGGTAACTTGTGCAACACTAGATACCTAATATATCAGTCTGTACTAAGACTGAAATAATACGAGGTGTTTGCACTATTTTTTAAGTTTTTTTCAATTATCACTAGGATTCCACTGGTTTTGCGTAGAAATTTTGCTGGATGTCAGTCTTCTCCAGGTCGGTGTTACTAGGTTAGTCAGTATTGGTCAGTGTCAGTGGGCTGCATCTCAGAGCCAGGCCACTTGTGCCACTTAACTTTTGAGTCTCTACTAACCACACTGGCATGGGATCTACACACCTGAACTTTAGGCAGAGTTATTCATAACTGTGCTCCTCATACCTGGAAAGTCTGGCTCTGGATTCTCTCTCTGCTCTAAAGTGTGAGTCTGCTGCTTCCTGCCTTTGACTTCTGCCACTAAGTGGGTGGTGATGACATGATGAAAACCTCCAGTTTCACCCTGCTCCTCTGGTGTCCACCAACTCACTTGTTCCTACTGCTCACCTCTTTCGCAGCCCCCAGCACCGGGCTTGACCTATCCCATCATTCCTAGATAGCACTGTTAGGGCATTTAAATGAAATAACCATTTCTGGTTTCTCCTGAGCTCTAGCTGACACTATTTTTGCATTTCAGATGTTTTTACAATTTAATTTCAGTTGATTGTCTCAAAGGTTCTCTTGGAAGTATGCCTACTTGAGATGCCCATTTACAGTTCTCAAAACGAAACGCTCCCAGTCACGGCATTCATCTCTCATAACGTCAGTCCTGCCCCACGGCTGGAAGCCTCTCATTTATTCTGTAGCCTGTCCGTTGACTGGAATGGACCGAAACCTTCAAAAACGGAAACCTGCTTAAGCGTTCCGGAGCCCGAGTTTGGCTAGGTTGGAGATGGCAAACGTGGAGCACTCACTCCCATGGATGTGATCATTCCAAGACGTGGTCATGCTCTGTAGCCGGGGCAGTCGGTTCTGCAGCCCTTCATGTTGTGTGTTCATTGGCTGATGAATCCCTGTGTGCTGTTTAGCTGTTACCCGAGTTGGAGGACTGACTTCTGACTGAATTTCACTCACTCCAACGAGATGGTAAGAACAGAGCCTGCCCCAGGCATACTGCCTAGCATGGCCCGCCAGGGCTAAGTCTTGTTCGTAATACCGGCAAAGTTGGCATGGGTGCCACAGCTCATGCTGTCTGCTGTGGTACCTATTGGTTTTATACATTTCACAAGCAGCCATCTCTTGTGAGGTTACTTCTGTCTGAAACCTTCATACAGCCAGTGGCTCTGTGGGTAGTCGTGAGCAATGCTCGGTGGAATGCAGAGACTGAGGATGTGAGGGACAGGCGGCGCGGGTGGAGCCTGAGGCTGGGTGCTGACCTGGATACCCTTCTGTGCAGACCCAGCTTAAAGGTGAGCACCTCCTCATGCAATTTAAGGAGAGACAGATCTATGCTTTTGTAAACAGTACAACTTACATACATCACGCTTGAATTTGCTGTGGTGGTTTCTGAGTTCATGCTGTTCTGTATATTTTCGTATTTTTTAGCTATTAATGTACAGATTGTAGGTTCAACAGAGGACAGCTGATTTTACAAAAATAAGTTTTTATTAACAAATGGACTCACAGTAGAAAAGGCGGGTCGATGGGTTCACTTCACTGCATGTTTGGGATCATCTTTTTAGGCGCAGCACTGTAGGCAAGTAAACCAAAGTCAGCTCCTGCCCGAGGCCTGGGACCCATGAGAAACAGGCCATGGGAGACAGCCAGCTGGTCTTCTCTGCCTCCCTGGCCACCATGAGACTCTTGGAAAACTGCTTCTGTCCCCTTCTGCCACCCCTCAGCTCCTCAGGAGAGCCAGAGTCGAGAAGAAAATGAGCCTGAAGTGGAAAGTTCTTGCCTGAAACAGTGCTGGGAATCCCGGTCACAGTCCAGACCCTTTCCCTCCAGAGCTGCCGCTTTACTCCTCAAGCCAGAGGACACCAGAGACATGGTGAACAGCCTCTCATGCTGCTCCTCAGGCGGCTAGTGAGGGCCTGCAGGATTTCAGGGAGGTGGCGCACGGCCCACTCAGAACTTCTGTAAGAATTTGAGGACGAGGTCCCGCAGTCTCACTCTGAGCATCTCGTCATTGTCGCAGATGATATGGGTCGAGTCTTCTTCAATCTGGATGAGCGTCTCAGCTTCCTGGAGCAGGACGATATGGCCCTTGGCTGTGTCCTCCACCTTAATATCACTGAAGCCGTGCTGCTCCAGAAGAAAAGACAGATGGAGGTGAGCGGACTACAGCTGTGGGACCTACCAACGACACCTCCCAGACTCGACCGAACATTCCAGAAACTGACATGCCTCAACACAATTCTTCAGACTAGTCATAGGGCCTACGCTAGCAATAGTTTTACATACTTGAGACCCAAACATGCAGAATCTCATGCCAAATAGAACAGAATTTCTACAACCTGCCTAAGCTTTTTGAGGGCATGTCCAAGCACTGTGTTCAGTAGTCTGGGACCCTAGCTGCTGGCGCCATGCCCTTCCCTGGTGACAAAGCTGCTTCCTAAGCCTCAGCTGTCTGAGCTCCCAGGAAAATGCCAGTGACAGCAAGATACCCTGGACTGTGGGACTTGGCAGAGCCCTCTCAAGGGAGAAGGAGAAGGCAGCACAGCGAACGTTTCTCGGCTATTGCTCCCACCAAGGACAGAATTTCCTTACAAATCAGGTGTGATGTGGAAAGGAGGCATGTGCCCGAAATGGACACAAAGCAGGGAAGGGCATCTGTGTGGGGAGGCCACCTGCACTTCGTGGCTCAGGCTCCCCTAGGGACTTGGACAGGGGCTTGGTCCTTCTGCAGAGAGGAGCCAGGGTGGAACACTGTGTCAGGACCTAGGCTGGGCTAGGCCAAAGGTCCTCATCTCCAGTTTTAAAAAGTCCAGCTTGAGGCCTGGCAATAAGGCCCGGGAGCCCTGCAAGGTCACGGGGGAGAGGGAAGGGGAGCCTTTCCTGCAGGAAAATCAAAGATAGGTGGAGAAAACCAATCCTAGGAAAGGGAAGCCTCTAAGATCTGAAGGTCAGCAACTGTGATATTTACACTGGATAAAACGTTCATAGAAATCTCCTTCCTTGTAATGATTATAATTTGTTGCACTTCTTGCAAGAAGGAGCATGAACAACATTACCTTTAGCCACTTCCTTCTCCTTCCATCAAGGATTCTATAATCCTGATCAAAAAACAGTGATCTGTGAAGTCCTGTGACTGAAGCCAAAATTACACCTTTAACTAAAATTATTTTCTTTTAATCAGAGTCAAGAAACCTCATCTCTGGGAGAAGCAGCCATCAAGGCTGATGAGACAGAGGGGAAGGGGAAGGGCCCTCAGGTGCCTGCCCCGACCCCTGTCTGAATGGCTGGGCCTATTCTCTGAATTCCTGGGCATCTGGGACCATGGCTGCTGCTTTCCCAAAATCCTGACACTCAAGTGAAGCCTCGGCTCCCCTCTGACAACAAGGAGTCAGCTGTGGAAGCTCGAGGCTCCGGCAGGGATGGGCCCTTCTTTGTCCTACCCTCCCCTGCTCGTCACATGTGTGTGGAAGCAGCTTTTTCCCAGTCTAGAGAGGCCTTCTGCTGACCTCATGCCTGGGAGGAAAGCGGGGGCACTCTTCACTCGCTCTCTAACCTCCTGGGTCTCCCAGCAGGATCTTGGACCAAGCAGGTCCAAGCAGCAACATCCCCTCGCTGCCACCCGGGACCGTAGTGAGCCAGCGAAAGGCTGCTGCATGTGGCGTGTCCATGGTGCCCGAGAAACCCGCTCACCTTCTCCAGCGTCTGCACAAACTGCTCCACGGGGATGGAGCCGCTCAGCAAAGGCTTCAGGACCTTGCAGTCCGGGACGTCATCACCCACCCGCTTTCTCTTCTTCCCGCTTGTGGGCTGGGCAGACCGAGGAGGAGGCTGGAGCAGAAAGGAGAGTGGCTCTCCTGAGCTTCCTCTGAGCAGCAGGCGCCACCGCAAGCCACACAGGGAGCCTGAGACTATCCCATCCTCACAGTCCCCAGCCTGGCTTCCTCAGCTGGCACTCGGTTCAGGTTCCCTGGCTGCTGGGGGCCCCAGATCCACGTGCTCAACTGTCCACCCAACCAACACCTTTATTCACTGAGCTCTCTGCCTTCTATCAAGATCCATTTTTAAACCTTCAGGTGATTCACTGCAGTATCTGCTGAATAAATTCTCCACATTATACTGTCGTGTTGCAGGTACTGTCATGATGCCGTGGCCGGGCATACTGGCCGTGGGGTCAGACCAAGGGGGGGAACCCCAACTTTGCCACCATCCGGCTGAAGTCAGTCAGAGAAGCTGCCTACGAAATGGTGACAGCAACACATTATTTGAGGGATCAGTAAGACAAGGACCCAGCACGGGGTCTAACAGACTTTAAGTGGTAGCTAGGAGCAATTCTACCTATGGCACAAAGGTGACACAGTCCAGGAGGACACCATTCCTGAAAGGAATTCTTAAGACAGAGCACCTGCCCTGGGGCCAAAGTGCCACCACCTGTGTATGGATCAGTGGCAGGGCCAGGCAGGTGCGCTCTGTTTCCAGCCCCCAAGGGCAGTGCTGCACCTGCCAGCTGCACGTCTCCCCACAGCCAGCCTTGCACGGCAGCACTCCCCTACAGAATGTGCCTGGAGCAGCCCTTGGGAGACAGCAGTCTCTCTGAGGCACGTGGCCACAGAAACACTTCTTACGAAGCTCTTTGTTTCAAATATACTCTGTTAGGGGGCAGGGTCTCTGGCTGGGGAGAGGGTCTCCTGCATGCCTGCCCAGCACCCACTACCTGAAGCAAGTGCTTGTTATCTTTGGTGTGCAGCACGGCCGAGACGGTTGCCAGGGAGATGCCAGGCTTGATCTCCATGGGCACCAGTGAATCCGCAAGCTGAAAGCAAAGGGCACAGTTCAGGCTGGGGACCTTTAATGATGAACGTTACTGACTTTTCCGTTAATATCTTTACATCACTGCAGTCTAAAGAGAAAATAACTTTCAAGGTAAACAACTTTAAAAAGCATTTAAGTAAAAAATAATCTCTCACACATCCACCTCTATCAATCAGAATCCAGACAGGAAGGAAGAGAAAGGGGCATGAACCCGACTGAGCCCAACTGTCTAGATGACGTAGCAGCTCTGGCTTCTGCACTCTGCAGCAGAGGTCACGGGGCAGCCACATCACTGCCTGCTGGACTCCAGCCTGCTGACCCCTCTGCGTCTCCCTCTGGTTGGTGACCCCACCAACAACAGAATGCTAGCACCTGGCCAGGCACCCATCTCAACTGCGCGGCCTCACCCACCTCTCCAGTGGCTTCCACACAACTCTGAAGACCCTTTTACAGTGTCGCAGGAACCTACCAGAGCTGCCTTTCAGTCACCCTCACCCCCTCTCTCCAGGTGACCAGTGGTAGGAAGGACAGGGATAGCTGCATGGGGGTTGAGAGACTGCTCCCCTTCCTGAAATCTGACTTCTCCCAATGGTGGAAGCCATGGCTTTACCTGGGGGAGTGGTGTCATTCTGACCACCTGTACTTGATGGGTGCCCTGCTGTGCAGCCTGACCTTATTAGGTGCTTGTTGCTGAGTTTAGCTGCATGGTTTTTAACAGACACGCAACGTCTACCTAGCCAAGCCACCTTTATATAAAAACAAAAACATGCAAGAGGCCATTATGTAAAATGAAGGTCAATACCAAACAGGCAGAGGAAGCAGCTTAGGGCAGGGAAGCAGATTGGCAAATTGTACGTGAGGTCTGGTTCATGAAAGAAGAAAACTGCCCATGGGTCAGCGTGAAGCGGCCTGGGCTGAAAAAGCAGGGTGTGCGCCAGTCTCCTGGCAATGCCAGATGCCCGTTCTTCATTTCAGGCCCTCCTCTCTGCACTGCGATCACGCCCTTCACAGGTTAGCTGGGGTGAGAGCTTTGGGACTGGCATTATGGGAACCAAGTAGGTACAACACACTCCCCTGGCAGCCATGCACTATTTCCAAGAAGACTCTGAAGGAGTCTTTTTTGGAGATGGGGCTTCACTCTGTTGCCCAGGCTAGAGTGCAGTGGTGTGATCATAGCTCACTGCAACCTCAACCTCCACCTCCTGGGAAAGTGATCTTCCCTCCTCAGCCTCCCCAGTAGCTGGGACTAGAGGTACGGACCACCACACCTGGCTAATTTACTTTTTTTTTTTTTTTGTAGACATGGGAGTCTTGCTGTGTTGTCCAGGCTGGTCTCGAACTCCTGGCATCAGGTCATGCCAATGCTGGAAGCTTTGGCCTCCCAAGGGCTGGGATTACAGGCCTGAGCCACTGTGCCCGGCCATAATGTCTTTTAAAGGCAAAGAAATCACTGCAGCAAGTCGGATTGAGAACATTATCTCCATGAATGATGAAAGATATACACGTTGGCTGGATGCAGTGACTCACACCTGTAATCCCAGCACTTTCGGAGGTTGGGGTGGGTTCCTCAGAGTTCGAGACCAGCCTGGCCAACATGGTGAAACTCCATCTCTACTAAAAATACAAAAAAATTGGCCAGTTATGGTGGCACATGCCTGTAGTCCCAGCTACTGAGAGGCCAAGGCAGGAGAACTGCATGAACCTGGGAGGCAGAGGTTGCAGTGAGCCGAGACTGCACCACTACACTCCAGCCTAGGCAACACAGCAAGACTGTCTCAAAAAAAAAAAAAAAAAAGACATGCAATTTAAAATGAGATATTAGTGTATGCTTACATAACTGGAAAAGAAGAAAAAAAGGACAACATCCAATACTAGGAGGAGGCAGAAACGGGCTGGCCCCGGCTCTCTTGCGGGAGCGTAAGCCGCTGCACTCCTTCAGAGGACAGGCTGGTGGTGTGCAGCCTGGAGCCCTAAAGGGGTGTTGAGAGTCTTTGACCCAGAAATCCTAATTTCACAAAATTTTCCTGTGGAAATAAATTTATGTGGACAGAGATTTATGTCAAACGATGTTCCTGAAAGTGTTATTTATAACACAGAGAAACCAGAGATGAAAGTCTATGAATAAAGGAGCTGTTAACTAAATTCTGACAGACCATTATGCAACCATTAAAGCTGAAGCTTTTGAACTACCTTTTTGTTTTTCAGAGTCTTGCTCTGCTGCCCAGGCTGGAGTGCAGTGGTGTGATTTTGGCTCACTGCAACCTCATCCCCCAAGTAGCTGGGATTACAGGCACCCGCCACCATGCCCAGCTAATTTTCATATTTTTGGTAGAGACGGGGTTTTGCCATCTTGGCCAGGCTCGTCTTGAACTCCTGACCTCATTATCTACCCACCTCGGCCTCCCAAAGTGCTGGGATTACAGGTGTGAGCCACCGTGCCCGGCTGAAATATCTTTAATGATAGACTTACTGCTAGGTGAAGATAGTGTATGAGGTATGATTCCGGTGTGTGCACGCAGTGAACAGACACGGCAAATACATCAAAATGTTAACAGTTATCCCTGGTTTGGGGACTGATTTTTGCTTTTGTCTTTATCCCTTAGTTATGTTAACATATAATAGGTTTGTATTATTATTCTTAAATGAGTATTTTTAAAATGTCTTAGTTTTAATTTCTCCTATAGCAAATATTAATCAACACTACCCACATAAACAAAAACTCTTTGGAGTTCTATTTGTAAGGATGCCGAGACCAGCAGGTTTAAGGAATGCTGTCTTAGAGAGCTAAAATCTAAACCGAGGCTGCCAGTCCCAGCCCCTGTAAAATACCAGACAAAAACAATCCAGAGACATCCAGAGAAAATGCAGAACGAAAGCAGAGAAACTGAAAAACAAAGTCATAACAAACTAATACAAACAAGTTAATCATAAAGACGGCAGCTGGTGGTCTCTAGCAGCCTCTCCAGGCCTGTGGAAGTGAGTCACATTCAGGAGCTGAGACCTCCAACCCAAGGTCTAGAGGCCATTTCTGAACCTCAAACTCCAAAGTAATTTTGGGCACACTGGTTTTAACATTAAGTTTTTGTATTTCTTTGTCCTGTCTGTTGAAAATATGTTCAAGTTGCCTCAAGAGGCAAAGGGAAGGCAGAGGTAGCCTCTGACCGCCCTGGATGCTGGCTTTCAGGAGGGGCCGTGTTCCTCCTCCTGTCCCTCTCAGAGGAGTGGCCCGAGCACAGCACGCCACAGCTGTTCCACACGGACAGCATGCTTCTGCACGTTGCCTGCCAAAACTGAAGCTCAGAGTTCACAGAACTACAACATGCTTAGACTCCGATAGGCCAAATCCCGCAAGTATGCGAACGAGGATGTAAGAACCAAGTTTACCATCCTCATTCTGGGTTCCTATTATCTCCCCCATCTACCTCTGAATTCAGTGAACTCTGACCCTTGCTCATAATTGAGGTCCAGGGGGAAGAGAAAAGCCACCACCCTACGGTATTTAGGGACAGAATAGGTGTCAGCATCTCCATTCCTCAGGGATCTGGCCCGTGATGTGACCCAGGGGTCACAGTGCTGAACGTCAGGTAAGGGGCAGTCCTGACTTTAACAGCTGCTATTTTATTATTTGAAAAACGAGAAGAACCTCAAAATCCCCCTGCTTCCCAGTTACTTGCTTAAGGGTCCATGTTCTTTGGTTCATTCATACTTGATGGAGACTCATTCTGTCAGCCAGGCTGGAGTGCAGCGGCGTGACCTTGGCTCACTACAACCCCCACTTCCTGGTCCAAGTGATTTTCATGTTCAGCCTTCCAGGTAGCTGGGATTACAGGCACCTGGCCACCATGCCTGGCTATTTTTTTTTTTTTTTTTTTTTTTGGTATTTTTAGTAGAGATGAGGTTTTGCTATGTTGGCAAGGCTTGTCTTAAACTCCTGACCACAAGTGAACTGCCCGCTTTGGCCTCCCAAAGTGCTAGAAGTACAGGTATCAGCCACTGTGCCCAGCCTGGTTCATTCATATTTGACACAAATCTAAAAGAAGGCCACCCTGCACCCTCTTCAAGAGCCTCTGTGGAAAGCTCTCATTTAACCCCAGGAAGGAGAACAGCTTACCTCTGGCATGATCTCGATCTTCTCGTACCGACGTTTGAAGGGCAGGGCGAGGACCTCAGCCCGCCGATAGGACATAGCGGGGGGCTGGCAGTCGATCATGAGGTCCATCCTGTGGGACTGGGCTGGAGGCGGCTGGGTGTACTGCTCGGGACACACGACATGCAGCGGCTGAAGAACCAGTGGGATAGGCAAGAAAGGAGGTGTGAAATACAGTGGCCCTTGTGGAAGGCCCGTTCTTGACCCGGGTCCACTCCCCTCATCACAGGCTCACCACCTCCAGGCCAAGGAGAACTTTCATCCTCTCAAGCCCAACACACTGCAGAGAGGGAATGTGAAGGCGCAGGGCAGAAAAACATCTTGGAAACCCCTCAACTGCCTCAGCCTGCATTTGTTTTCATTTTTTTCACTGTTTACAAAATTTTCATGGTGACTTCCATGTGTCTGCTCCCAGTGATCTCTGGGCTTTCTGGGGGAACAGTCTTTCTAGAACATTCCCACAGGTCCGCTAGTATAAGCTCTTGCTGCTTAACAAGAGCTGCTGCTTTCTGTGTTGGGCTGGCGTTGTGGGTTTGGAGTTTCTGCTGGATCTGCAGGTCAGCTGGTACTGGGCGGCGGGAGCTCAGGTCATGAGCTGTGTACAACCAAGATGTAGAGACAGAGCTTTTTCTTTTTAAACAAAACATCTCTTGTTATCTTGAGAAGGAAAAGATTATAAGCCAATTTTTACTTTGCACAATTATCACCCCATTGAAAAGGAATGCTGGCAGCCCGTGGGGCACTATATCACCCCTGCTTCTACTTAAGAGCTTGGGCCAGGCCCCAAATTCCCTGATGAACATGGCTTTCCACCAGGCTGAGCTTCCAGGAGCACCTGTTCCTCAGGGCTAATACTTTTCTCCAAACTGCCCTGTGCTCCTCTTCCCAATCTATTTCACAGCATCTCCCACCACAACTGTAGCCTGAAGGCTTCTCCCAGGTTCTCCTCAACTAAAGTGGAGACCAGGTGGCCTCCAGTTTCCAGGATGAGCACCTGACAGACGAGGGTCAAGAGCGGGTTTAGGAACTGGGATTTGAAGTTAGACATGGAAAGGGACAGGCTCTTTGCTGCTGCTTCTAGCATGTGGATGAGCCTGCAGTGGGCGGTGAATCACTGCAGACGGTGGCTCTCTGCTCTCATCACGCGTAGAGAGTGCAGTGTTCTCTCTTCACTGGGCAAGCATGTTAATAATCACCAGAATCCACTCTCTGGGCTCTCCTGGGGTTCCCCTGACTTAAGAGTTTTGTCAAAGGGCCTCTCATCCTGAGGGTGAAGGGGCCGGGCCCCTTGGGTCCTCATGTCACTCCTGGAACACCGGGGAGTGGGAAGGGAGAGTGCTTCCTTGCCCTTGCTCAGCTGTCATCCTTGTCAATTTCAGTTCCTCTCCTGACTCTCAACAACCAGAAACCCGTCCGGCGAGCAGGGGCTCACCCAGCACAGTGGTTCCAGAGCCCGCTTTCCTGCCATGCGCTCTCCTGGGCATGGATTCTCCTGGTCTACACTTCACCCCAGCTACTTCCTCCTTTTCTCCAGGGCAGAACATGTGAAGTGAAACAAATACCAAAAACCACCACAAAACCCAAACCCAACGGCACTGCTCGTGGTACACCCTACACGTGCAGCGTGGCCTCAGTATGCGTTTCAACTAAACTGTCTCGGCTTAGTGAATATGTTTCTAGAATGACTTTTTTTTGGCAGGGGTGAGATGGTTTTCTTTCCCTTCCATTTCTGATTCCTTGAGAATGGAAACTTCTGTCAGGGTGTGAGGACCACTCCTTTTCAGTGGAGGGAGCTGGCATGCGTCCCAGCATTATGTAGACACGTGAGAACGGAAGACAAGAATCAAATGCAGTGAGATCTCCCTCCCTCACCCCACGCATGACGGGGCACGCCCAGGTGCCACGCCCATGTGAAGGCACGAGCAGTGCCCTCCTTACCTGCACTTCTTTAAGCAGCTTTGACACCTGGATGAAGTTCAGCCGGGTGTCAATGGGGCAGTAGATGCACTTCATGGCCAGCGGCTGGTAAGGAGCCAGGGCTTCCAGGTATGAGAAGTCCGGTTCTAGGGAAAGTACAGGAAAGAACTATCACAATGCAGGCCACACAGGAGCTGTTGAGCCAGGTGGCACTGGGGCGTCGAGGGCCCAGGAGACAGTCTCAGGGTCAGGAGGGAGCCAGGAAGCACATGCAGGGGACGGAGGTCAGAGGGACCCTGTGGAAGGACAGGCAGGCTGGGATGGACCCCGGGGGTGGGCTCCAAGCTTCAACAGAGGCACAGGAGGTATGTAAGGGAGAAATACCTGTGTGGGGGAGAAGGGAAAGCTCTTCTTTACAACGGAATGCCAAAACACATCAGCGATGAAATAAAAACCAAAACCGCCCTGTGGCAACCATTACAGTTCACCACTTACTCAGATGAGAATCATCCATAAATGCTGACAGTATTAATACCATTTTGAGGGAGAACAGGATATATACATAGTTTCAAAGTGTCCCCCACAAGATAGTGATTTAATACGATGAGAAAAGCGTGACTTCCCAGCGGAGAGGCCTGGCACAAACCTAGGGAACCTAGAATCAGCTCTGAGTTAACGCGCAGGTGTGAGAGGCAGCTAGGAGACGAGTGGGGGTGCCGCAGTGCTCCCCAGCAGGCCCAGCGCCTCCAACCGACCAACCGGGAAGGGCCCTCGCCCTCTGCTCAGCCTGTCTCCTGAGGGCCGCTGCAGCCTGCTTGGCAACGGACATCCCCCCACCCCACTTGAGGGGGCTGCCTGCCTTGAGCCAAAAGACCTCGCTTGGTCCTGACTGATGTGATGCTTCAACCCCCCAGGGCAGCTGTGCCCAGTGATAAGGTAGCGTGGCTTAGGCTCACCTGCCACACAGACATCTTCAGTGTCATCAGCACAAACTGGCAGTGCCAGGCATGTAAATGCCCATCCCAGTGGATTGTGCTTCTCTGAGAATACTGACCCCCTTTTCATGTATCCAGGAGTCACAACACAATAAAAAAAGGCGGCCCAACCTCTCCCCGACACAGTTTTTGCCCTGGGAGCCCACAAACCAGTTGAAATGCAAACCCATTACCCAGGGCTGTCACGGGAAACCACACAGTCCCGGCTGCCAAATGGCAAATGTCAAGTCACCACTCATCAGGAGAGACCAACCTCAGCCCCACTATGTACGATATTCTCTGGACAACCTCCTGATGAATGACATCTAGGCAACAATAAAGTTCTGAGTGTTGTGAATCAGTATCTTGTGGCCCAACTTCTCCGCCTTTAGCCCAAAGTGGGCCTGAGAAGAGGAAAGCTGTCCTGGTGACCAGGGCCTCTCCGGGCACTTTCTGCCCGGCCTGGTATCAGCAAGAGCCGGCTTGGCACCCACAAGGCCACGTGTCCTCCTGCTGTGCGAACGCAACTTCCTGGAACACCAGCGCCTTGTCTGACCACGATGGACCCAGGCAAAAACCAGACCCCTCCACAATCATCCTGAACACACAACACAGAACTGGCGTGACGGGAATGACAGTTGAGTGCACCCCACGCTATGTTGGCTCCATTCTTCCTGTGTTAACCCAAGCCTCACTGAAGACCCTAATGGGTGTCCAAGCTTTTGGCTTCCTTGGGCCCCACTGGAAGAACTGTCTTATATCACAAACAACCTACACTAACACTAGTGACTGCTGATGAGCTAAATAAAATAGGTCAGCGCATAATTTGCATGGTATCCCCCACCACAGAGAAGCAAAAAAGTCCCTGCATTCCAAGGGCTGGGCGGGCTGCACTGATAAAATGATGCAGATCTCAGTAAACCCTCTACTTGACCTTATCAAAGGAATTTCTTCTCCTGAGGCATTTGTCTCCAGAAGAAAATCCACAGCCAGAGTAAACTACAATCAGAAGAGAAAGATCTACATCTGTGAACAATTCCTAACAGGTAAAACAAGACAGTTACTGAATCACTACAGTTCTTGAAATGGCTTAGGATATCCTAGCAAAGCACTCAGCAGGATTCTCTTTCAGAGAAATCTGCAAACACAGGCATGAAAGCCTCGCCGGACGCCCAGCTGTCCAATGGCATACACTGCTTCACTCTTTCTCCTGCGTTTCTTCATTCTTTGGTACCGACAGTAGAACAATGTTCATATTTAAGCCTCACTGCAAAAGCCTTCCCTGGGTCTCTATCTTGTAGGTGCATTCACTAATGGCTTCAGTGGAGTGAACTGTTTTATTTTTTTCACTTACCTGTGAATATAACAGTGTTGAGACTAGATTTTCCCCAGAGCTCCATGAAGTGGACCACATCCCCGAAGCGGAGGGAAGGGTGCCCGGTGAACACCACACAGGGCTGTCTGAAGTCGTTGCTGAAGTCTCCGTGGATGCTGGGGTAATGCTTCAGTTTATTGGTCTGAATGAGCTGGAAAACAGAAAAAGTACAAAGAGATGTGAGCCTGCCCAGGCCGAGCGGGAACCAAAGTGCTGGAGGGTGACCAGGACTGGATTTAAAATACAAAGATGACAAGCCACGGACTGGGAGAAAATATCTGCAGAAGACACATCTGAGAGGGTACTGTGACCCAAAATGTATGAACTCTGAAACTTCAGCAAAAGAAATGAACAACCCTATTAAAAAGTGGGCAAAAAAACCTGAACAGAACACCTCATCAGAGAAGACAGATGGCAAACAAGCATGTGAAGAAATGCTCCACACCACGTGTCATGAGCAAACTGGAAATTAAAATGATGACCTATTATTATAGAATGGCCAAAATCCAGAACACTGAGAGCTGACAACGATATGGAAGAACAAGGACTCTCATTCACTGCTGGTGGGAATGCAAAGCGACATGGCCACTTTGAAAAATTATGTCCACAGGAAACCTACACGTGAATGTCTTAATTGCTAAAACTTGGAAACAACCAAGATGTCCTTCAATAGGTGAATACAACTGTGATACATCAGACAATGGAATATTAGTCAGCACTAAAAAAGAAATGAGCTACCAAGCTCTGAAAAGACATGGAGGCAACTATTCCTAAGTGAAGGATGTCCGCCACACTGAAAAGGCGAAACTATACAGACAGTAAAAAGCTCAGCAGTCACCAGGGATTTGTGGAGGGTGAAATGAACTGGCTGAGCACAGAGGATCTGCAGAACGAGGAAGCTACAATGTAATGGTGAATCCAGGTCACTGTCCACGTGTCCAAGCCTCAGAAGGCACAACACCAAAAGGAACCCCCAGCTTTTGGTGAGAGTGGCGTGACAATGTGGGCTCATCAGCCATAGCAAACGCATCTCTCTGGTGTGGGATGGTGATGGTGGGCAAACGCGTGTCAGGGGGCAGGGGCATATGATTGTGGTGAACCTAAAACTGGTCCTGAAAGATAACATGTATTAATTTAAAAAATACAAATCAATCTTATTAAAATTAGTTTTTACCTATAATGTGATTTTTGGAACACATGGGCAAGTCAAGTCTTTCTGGTAATACTGACACACTTCCTGGAAACTTACTGAGATTGTTACGGCCTGATTTAGCCGACTCTTCCTTTATAAGCTGTGTGGCACTCCACACTGGGCCTAAGGTCTTCACTTCCTGTTTGAAGTAAGCTGTGTGACACTCCACACCGGGCCTAAAGTCTTCGCTTCCTGAAATACAAGTGACTTTCCCAACACTCGTGAATCACTAAGTCCTGGCGACAGTAAACACATCCGTCACACCAGAACCACTGTTGACCAGTACAGGACCTCTTCCTGGAAGCCAGAGCTATGTTAAGCTACTATGGCAACTGAATAGGGACCAAGACAAACACTGTCCTTTCGCGATCATTTGTGTTGTCTGTTACAAGAGAAGCTTCTCTGAATGTGTACGGCATGTGCACCTATGCACCCATCCACACACATGCATGCACACATGCATGACAAAGATCAAATTGGCTTTTATGTCCTCGTAACACAGACAGCTATATTAGGAAGCAGGGGCCAGGCACAATGGCCACGCCCATAATTCCAGCACCTTGGGAGACCAAGAAAAGAGGATTGCTTGAGCCCAGAAGTTTGAGACCAGGCTGGGCAACAAAGCAAGGTCCCATCTCTACAAAACATAAAAAAAAATTAGCTGGATACTGTGGCGTGAGCCCATGAGTTCAAGGTCGTAGTAACTGTGATTGTGCCACTGTATTCCGGCGTGGGTGACTGAGTGAGACCGTCATTAAAAAAAAAACAAAAATTAAGGCTGGGCGCAGTGGCTCATGTCTGTAATCACAGCACTTTGGGAGGCTGAGGCAGGTAGATCACGAGGTCAGGAGATCGAGACCATCCTGGCCAATATGATAAAACCCCATCTCTACTAAAAGTACAAAAATTAGCTGGGCATGGTGGTGCGTGCCTCTAATCCCAGCTCCTCAGGAGGCTGAGGCAGAAGAATCACTTGAACCTGGGAGGCAGAGGTTGCAGTGAGCCGAGACGGCGCCACTGCACTCCAGCCAGAGAAAGAGAACAATGCTCCATCTCAAAAAAAAAAAAGGTAAAAAAGTAAAAATAAGTAAAAAGCAGGTGGCACACAGCCTCAAAGCTTTCTTTAAATGTATGGTTTGAACCAAGAGTCTCCCCTGCAGCCCAACACTTGACAGTAATCTCTCAGTGTCAGGCCGACTTCAAGGTAACATCAAAGCTACAACGAGATGGCATCTTGGAATGCTTCTCAGACACTGTGCCTGCCTCCCAGGCTTCCTTGTCCCACTCTAGCATCCAGAGGGCAGACACCCAGACTTCACAGACCCTAAATCTCAACCAGGCCAAAGAAGCACTGCCCTGAGATACTCTTTCATGGATAAAGCAATGGCCCGTGACAGGCTCAATCCTGTGGTCGCCCATCCAGCATGAGAGGGCCCTGGCTGACACCTTGAAGTGGAAATGAAATCGCCCTAACAGTGGGGATATAGCCAGAATGGGACATGCCCTCAACAGAAGCCAAACTCTCTTCACCTGGAAGATCTAATCTTTAATTAGAGACCTGGTTGTATTAGGAAGACATAACGCTATCCCAGAGATCTTCCGCTGTCACGTGCTTGGATGGGACAGGAATAGTAAAGATGGAGCAACGTCCAATTCCCACTTTGCTTCCAGGTAGTCTGCAAGTCAAACTGACATTCTCTTCATAACCTCTAAGGCCCAAATCATTAGTTGTCTCAGTTAAATGGGCGAGCGGCTGTCAGAAGGAGTCCATTGTATCGGGAAGTGTCATGAGGAGGAATGCGACTCTAAGAATAGCAGCAGGTCTCTGCACACTCAACTCACTTTGAAGCATTATCTATAGTTCCTGTAGCTCTACTGATCAATGCACAGAAACTAAGATAAATTCATCATTTTTTGCCAATTGCATCTACCTTTCTAGCCAACTTACTGTATTTGACCAGTGGAAATGAAGCTGTGGGGCAGGAATTCTGAACAGTAGTTTGTTACCAGTACTAAGGACAGAACCATCATTTCTCATGGGCCATGGTAACAATACCAAGGGTCGACTCCTCGTGCCCTAACAGTGACAAGTGCACTTCAGGAACCCTGACCGTGCGACCACAGTCTACTCACACTCCTGACTCGAAATGGCACCAGGTCATCTGTGACAGGTGTGTGGTTAGAATGTGATCACACTCTTAAAAAACAAGGCTGACAGCAAGGCTAACTGCAAGGGAAGGAAAACAGACATTCAAGAGCCAAATCCATACAAAATGTTTTGCCACACTTACTTTTCTGACATTTTTATAATATTTCTAGCCTGCATTTCAAAATAGCATTGACAGAGCTTGAAAAACCCCGGCTGCTGAAATAATATTTAGTCTATTAGGACTAAAAAATAACTCCTTCAAAACCTTCTCCTGGGCATCCAGTGGCTCATAAAAGACCTATCCTTTACAGTATGAAAAAGGTAGTTGCATTTAAAGTAATTAGCAGGACATTTGTTGAAATACGTGTTAAACAGTTAACTCTAAAACAAAACAACGAAATCCCAGCTTTACCACCTATTATTGATGCTCCTAATGGGACACAAACCAGATTCTTCTTCTTCCATTTCCAGATCCAGCCCATGGCCAAGGAGTGCATTTATCTGTCACATCTCTCTATTCTCTCAGCAGTTCCTCAGTCTTTCTTGTCCTCTGGGTCTCTGACATTCTCAAAGGGTACAGGTCAGTTATTTTGTTGAGTCTCCTCAACTTAGGTTTGAATGCTCAGCTCCATGATTAGACTCAGGTGAGGCACTTTTAGGAGCACGATCACATAAACCATGCTATGTTTTCTCAGTAACTTGTGTTAAGAGCCACACAATGTCAGTCCAATTACTGACGATGTTAACGTTGACTGCATGTATGTCACGTTTGTCAAAACTCCGGTTACTATTTCTCTTTGTAATAAACATAAATTGGGTGGGGACATACTTTTTTGGGACTACAAATTATCTAGTTCTTCATAAAATTTTCACCTGTTGGTTTTAGCACCCACTGGTGTTTCTTGCAGGGATAAATTATTACCGTGGTGGCTGTCAAATGGTGGTTTTCTAATTCTAAGATTCTTTCCTACACTAATTACGTGAGTTTACTGTTGGAAGAACTCTCCCCTCTTTCCTACACACTCGGTTACTGCACCATGGATGCGGGAGTTTCTGTTATTTGATGGAGTATATTCATTACTAGCATTACTGGTTTTGATGTTCCAGTGATCTCAGATGAGGCTGCCGACATGTCCCCATCATTCTCTGAGCACACAACACAATCTTTCAGCCTCACCTTGTATTTTCCAAAGAGGCCTGGTTCCTTTTAGTGGAAAACGGCAGCTAGAAACCAACACCTGGGAGCTAAATGTGTTTCTCAGTTAGTGGCCAGAGCTGGAAGATACGTATGCGTAGGTACATACGCATACACACGCACAAGTGTATTTCCTTCTGTGTCTATCTACGTGTATTGCAAATCGTTCACACTAATACCATCAATTCTATCTGACAGCACAGGATTCATTCCACACTTCACTTTATTTAAATAAAGCATTATCAGCTCCTCAGAAATCCCTCTTTGTCCACGTCCTGTCGATCTACTGCTCTATATCTGGATCTTTCACTCACATTGTGTGTGTGAAGTTTATCTACATTGCATATGATTGGAACTTATTTGCTCACAGTGATGTAACGCATTTGTGATTATGCCACAAAATCCATTCTATTGTTGATGGGCATTTGAGTATATTTCAGTACTATTACCAGAAATTTTATTTATTTATTTTTTTTCTTTTTTGAGACAGGGTCTCACTGTCAGCCAGGCTGGTGTGCAACAGCAGAACAGCAGTTCACTGCAGCCTCGAGCGCCCTCCGCTCAGGTGATCCTCCCACCCCAGCCTCTAGGGTAGCCAGGGCTGCAGGTGTGCACCACCACGCTCGGCCAATTTTTTGTATTTTTCTTTGTAGAGACAGGGTTTTGCCATGATGTCAAGGTTGGTCTCAAATTCCTGGCCTCCAGTGATCCTCCCACCTCAGGCTCCCAAAGTATTAGAATTACAGGTGTGAGCTACCAGCCCTGACCAAATTCTAGATTTGTGTGTGTATCTTTTGGTAACATCCCTATGCATTTCTGTTTGATGTAGACTTCAGGAAGGAAACTGCTGAGGCACTGAGTACGTTGTTCAGCTTCAGCAGACACTGACAGTTTCTAAGATGGTGATACCAACTTAGACAATCTCTGAGTGAAAACAGAACCCAAAATGCGGAGTAACTATTGTTTGTTAGCGTCACTGTAGTGTGTTCATGCCTTGCTATGGAATATTAGGGAGAAATAATAACACGAGACAGGCAGATGTTCATAATACACCGTTGGGTGAAAAGAACCTGATAACAAAGCTGGGTGTTCAGCTACATGGAAAACTCCCACTTGTTCTGTAAATGTTATTTTCATCATTAAAAACGTACACATATGACTGACGTAACTGGAAAGAACCCTCTGACAATAAATACATCCAATTAAAAAAAGCAGTAGTAAGTATCAAAATATAATTCCTCATGCAGTCAGTAGAACAGAAGCAGGCTATGAACCGCACGAACATAGTACAGGCTGAGCATCCCTAACCCAAAATGTTCCAGAATCTGAACTTTTTGAGCACCAACATAATAGGAAATTCTCAGTGGAGCATTCTGATTTCAGACTTTCAAATTTGGGATGCTCAACCAGGAAGTATATTCCCAAATCCCAAGTCTGAAACAATTCTGTGGTCCCCGTGTGCAAGAGGACATGTTAACAGGAGGAAAACAAGTGAAGCTGGAGTTAAAATACTTCCCTGTGTCTGACTCGGGAGGCAAAGGGCCTACAGGTTTACTCAGGGATCTATTTTATCTACAACCTGCTGTCTGCATCTGCATCAGGTTATCCACACTGCTTCCTTCCCATGTCCCCGTGATTCTGTTTTCTTACCTCTGCATGAGGAAAAGGTGGTTCTGGAAGATACACCTTACTCTGTTTGTTGTGACAAAGCCTATTGAAGAGGAAAAACACATCAGCATGGGAGGAAGAGCACACGCTGGCTTCTGCTGCCACCTAGTGGCAGCAGTGCAAATATTAAATACTGAAGTTTATTTAAAAATTTCTTGCCGGTGAATTTCACTGTGAATGAAAGCCAGTGACTACAGAACACAGACGTACCTTGTGAGCACTTTTTAAACTTTAGAATTCTTCAATACATTTTTTTCTTAAAATATAAACTTATTTTGGAATAACTTTAAAGAAAAACTGCAAAGACAGTACAGAGTTCCCATGTACCTTTCACCCTGTGTCCCCAGAGTTAACATCTGACACGAGTGGCACAGTTGTTAACTGAGAAACTAACATCAGGAAAGGACAATCAACTAAACTCCAGACTTCATTCAGATTTCACTAGTTTTTCCAATCATGCCCCTTTTCTGTTCAGGATCCAAGATGCCGTATTGCATTTAGTTGTAATCAATTTCATAAAGAAAGTGATCTACCTTGACACATGGCTTCTGTTTTTGTCCATGCATTCTTTTTTTTTTTTTTTTTTGAGATGGAGTTTCACTCTTGTTGCTCAGGCTGGAGTGCAATGGTGTGATCTCGGTTCACTACAACCTCCGCCTCCTAGGTTCAAGTGATTCTCTTGCCTCAGCCTTCTGAGTAGCTGGGATTACAGGTGTCCACAACCACGCCTGGCTAATTTTTGTATTTTTAGTAGAGACGGGGTTTCATTATGTTGGTCAGGCTGGTCTCAAACTGCTGACCTCAGGTGATCCACCCGTCTTGGCCTCTCCAAGTGCTGGGATTACAAGCATGAGCCACCACACCCGGCCCATAAATTCTTTTTAACAGCAGCATTGCTAACTCCAACCAGAGAAGAACCAAGCATCACCGGCTAGAGGCACTGTGAATGTTTCTGGTAATTTACATTTGCTTTTTCCTAGGCAGAGCTGACTCTGAAATACTGACATGTCTGGATAAAGCAAACGAGGCAAAACGTTTACAGCTGATAAATCAACAGATGTGGCTGTTGTGCAGGTCTGACATTTTAAAAAATGTCACTACTTTGAGGAGAGGAGCTCAGGACTTCAGGGCTTGGATTTTGTCTTAACTTCATACACTGTTTCTAATTTTCCTTAGTTTCCTTTAACTTGGGTTTTATAAACATCACTTTATACCCTTTTTGGAAGATACAAATATGGAAGAGCAAGATGCCTTTGGAGGGTTACCTTCTGATATCTGAATAGACACTAGTTGTGCCTTTACTTCTAGCTCAGGAAGAGAGACAAATGTTAAGAGCTTAGTTCTAAACTTACTCTGATTGTTCCAAAGGACATGATCCTTCATCCATTAAAGGCAGAGACTAGGGATACACAGGAGATAAGAGTATGATGACAGCCTGTGAAGCGCACCTACGTAACGCTTAGGCCACTTCTGCTAACAGATCCTTCATGCTCTGCCCTGGAATCCTCATTCAGGCCCAACAGACAGGGACCCATCCCCTTTCCAAGACAGAGGTTGAAGGACCTGATTAGCTTGCATCTTCTGGGGGAAGCTGCTGGGGTTTAAAAGGAGAGCTGTGTATACCAGATTATCAGGAAGAATGAAGAATAGACGATGCTTTCAGGATCATCCCAAATTGGGAATCTGAGAGACCCTCTTGATCCCTGACGGCCAGACCTCAGGTACCACGCACTCCCCAGGGGACTGCTTGTTCAACAAAGGATCAGGGCCAGGCATGGTGGCTCAGGACTGTAATCCCACCCAACTCTTGGAAGCCAAGGTGGGAGATCACCCAGGAGTTAAGAGACCAGCCTGGGCAACATGTTGAAATCCCATCTGTAAAAAAATACAAAAATTAGCTGGGCATGATGGTGATATCTGTAGTCCCAGCTACTCAGGAGACTGAGGTGGGAGGATCCCTTGAGACCAGGAGGTTGAGGCTGCAGTGAGCTGTGATTGTGCTACTGCACTCCAGCTTGGGCAACAGAGAGCCTGTCTCAAAAACAAACACATACCCCAAACCCCACAAAAGAGCTGAGAGATCTTTTGAGAGCTATTCTCTCCCAACTCCATCCCCTGCAAAAACAAAATCAACCCAAACAACCAAGCCCCTTAGCTTGGAGCAAGGGCAGACACCAGATAGGAAGGGGCTGGGCCTCTGCAGGCATCAAAGCAGGACCATGTAGAAGGCAGAGCTGAACCTCTAAGAACAGGAAGCACAGAGTCAGGGAACCAGAGTGGCAGGGAGTAAGCCCAGGACAGCAGGCCAGGCCTGAGGCTGAGCACAGAGCAGCCCAGCTGTGAGGCACCCATTTGGTGCACCAAAGAGGAGAGGAAGCCAAACCCTCAGATTAGGCTGTGGGGGTCCTGGCGTGGGGGCTGGGACTTGCTAAGTTAATGCAGGTCTGGAGCTAGCAGCTGTCCATTTTAGTAACTGAGTCCCTTATTTAGGGAGAAAACATGCTTTACAACAAGGCTGCATGAAGGAGAACAGAAAAGTGAAAAAAAGGGAGAAACAGAGAAATCTCTCAGGCTCAAGGAATCCTTCTGCCTCAGCCTCCCGAGTAGCTGGAATTGCAGACAAGCACTACCCTGCCCTGCTAATATTTGAATCTTTTGTGGAAATGAGGTCTTGCTGTGTTGCTCAGGCTGATTTCCAGCTCCTGGGCTCAACCCTCCTGCCTGGCCTCCTCCAGTGCTGGGATTACAGGTGTGAGCCTCTCAGGCCTCTTTCTACTTCTTTAACCATTATCTTCACACTTTTCCTAAGTATTTGTTCTCTGCTGACCCCGAATATGCAGGCACTTCTTACCTGGAGTTCCATCCTTTCCCTGCTGCCTGTTCTTCAAAGCTGAAATCCTCTTCCCTGGCAATCCCATTCATTCCTGTGGCAATCCCCACCACTGAGCTACCTCAATGCTGAGGACACCCCAACCTGTGACTCCAGCCTGGGCGTCTCAGTTCTTTCGATTAGAAATGTTTCACCTGTGCATCCCCTGCCTCAGGCACCGTGAATGCCCTCAGGGACAAAAACAGACTAAGTTAACCACCCTTGCTGTATGAACCCACCCTTCCTTTGTAGAACCAATTTTGTTTGGGGTCAGCACAGTCTACCACACTAGAAACTGAGGTATCAACCTTGACTGCTACCTCTTCTGTATCAAGCAACCAGTTAGTCCTGCCTGCTGCACTTCCTAATTGCCTCTCAAATTGCTTCCTGCCTTGTTTTCCTCCAGGACAGTAGAGACTGGAGTCTCCAATCCCTTGGCCTCTGCAAAAACTCGTGTCTTGTACTTCAGTTTCACCCCCTCCCACCCGCCCCCTACAACAAACTTCACTTAATTGCAGAAGGATCTACATAAAATGCACCTATAATCATGTTCATTTCCTGCTTAGAATCCTCCAGTGAATTCCCACCATGGACAGGAACCCTCTAGCCTCATACCCCGCCACTCCCTACCCTAAACTTCACACGGTAACAATAAAGAACTGTGGATTGTTCTCTAAACAAACCAAACCATTCAAACCTCCCATCTATGTTTCAGCCTGTGTTATCCTCTCCACCCACACTATCACCCCCAGCAGCCCACCCGGCTCATCCTTAAATAGGAGTTCTGTCTTTCTGTCTGGCTGATTCTTGGTCATTCTTCAGGAGTACCTCCTTCCAGAAGGCCTTTCCTAAAGCCCCAAATAGGGTCACCACCCCTTCTCTGAATACCATCCAGCTATAGGTAGGTGTGTGTATGTATCTCCATCAGATTATTTCTGAGTGGTAAGGGGTTGACACAGCTGCCTCTTCCTTCACAGTACAGATTCCTCAAGGTCACGGACCTTCGTATCCTCAGTGCTTTGGCACTTAAAGGTTTATGGATTGAACAAAATAAAACTATAGATGGAAACAAGAATAATATGATCACTGAGGTTAAGAGTCTATGGGAGGAATATCTGACAAGCTTTAAGACAGAGACACAGTTCATGTCTCAGCATGGGAAAACTACTGCAAAGATGATGATTTCTAATTTATAGGTCTGTGGACTCAAAAAGATACTCTGAAACTGATAAAGTGGTTCTATAATTCTTACACAAAAATAAGCAAGCAAAAATAGCTCCAGGAATTCTAAGAAAAATGCTGGAGAAATGTACTTTAGCACAGAGTAAAATAAAAAGTGAGGCTGCAGTTGTTAAGATTTATTAGCCTCATGATGGCCAAAGAATGAATGGATCACTCAGCCAAGATAGTCTAGAAACAAAACCAAGTGCATATGGAAGCCTGGCATATTAATGCAAAATCAGCTGAAAATTACCATTATTCCATAAATAGTACTTGGGCAGGTAACTATTTAACTATTTGGGAACAAAATGAAGTTAATGCTTCTCTTCATACTTTGTACTAAAACAAATTCCAGATAAGATAGTTAAGGGGTGACGTAAAACAAGAAAGCAGCTAGAATAAGACTGAAGGAAAGTGTGTTCAGCCATGTGACGCCTACAGGGGCGAGGCTTTTCTAAACGGAGCATCAGAAGAACAAACCGCAAAAGGGACTAAAACGGTCAGTATAAAAAACTAAAAAAAAACTTGCAAAAAACAAACAAAAAATCAAAGGCCTAAATGCAATGTGGTACCCTGATTTGGATCCTGAACGGAAACAACACAAAACAGAATTTTGTGGAAAAACTGGTGCAATCAGAATAAAGATCAGAGTTAATAATAATGTACTAATGTCACTTTAAAAATATGGACTAGTGAACATGGTCACGTGAGACATTAACATTAGGGACAGCGAGGAAGACTATATGGGAACCCTCTATACTATCTGTGTACTTTTCTGTAAATCTAAAGTCATTCTGAAGTAGTCAGTTTATTATTCAAAAAGTGAAAAGAAAAATATGAGAAAAAAAGTCTAATAAATATATCTGTAATACATATATAAGGAATTTGAATAAATGTTCGGAGAGGTACAAAACCTCTAATGAGAAAATGAGGAAGAGAACAATTTACAGAAAAGGAAGGTGGATCACAAGGTCAAGAGATCGAGACAATCCTGGTCAACATGAAGAAACCCCGTCTCTACTAAAAATACAAAAAAAATTAGCTGGGCATGGTGGCGCGTGCCTGTAATCCCAGCTACTCAGGAGGCTGAGGCGGGAGAATTGCCTGAACCCAGGAGGTGGAGATTGCGGTGAGCTGAGAGATCGCGCCATTGCACTCCAGCCTGGGTAACAAGAGCGAAACTCCGTCTCAAAAAAAAAAAAAAAAAAAAAAAAAAAAAGAAAAATCCTTCTGGAAAGCAATTTAGATTCAGATAATAAACATTAAAATATTTATACCCTTTGTTCCAGTAATTCTACTTTTAGTAATTTACCTAAAGCAAAAGGTGTCATGATATACACAGAGAATATTAACTGAATATTTATTATGAAAAGCAAAAAAATTATCAGCTGGGCATGGTGGCGCGTGCCTGTAATCCCAGCTACTCAGGAGGCTGAGGCGGGAGAATTGCCTGAACCCAGGAGGTGGAGATTGCGGTGAGCTGAGAGATCGCGCCATTGCACTCCAGCCTGGGTAACAAGAGTGAAACTCCGTCTCAAAAAAAAAAAAAGCAAAGCAAAGCAAAGCAAAAAAATTGGGAAAAGCCTTTCCATCCAGTAGTAATAGTTAACTAAATCATACCATATACAAATAATGTGCAAAAATGTAATAATGTAGTCATGTAAAATTTATGTTCTTAAGATTTCATAATGCTTTAATCAAATATTTAATTTTTAAAAGCAGGATTCAAAATTAAATATTCAGTATGATCCTGACATAGGAAGAAGAAATAAATCAGAATGCTAAAAGTGGCATGTTATTTCTGAATAACAGGATTATGGGGTCAGTTTTTTCTTTTTTGAGACAAAGTCTCGCTTTGCCCAGGCTGGAGTGCACTGCAACCTCTGCCTCCCAGGTTCATGTGATCCACCCACCTCAGTCTCCCCAAGTGCTGGGATTACAGGTGTGAGCCACTGCGCCTGGCCGGGGTCAGTTTATTTTACTGTATCGTGTAACTTTAATTTTTTTCAATGGTGAACACATATTACATGTATATCAGAAACTAACAAATATCTAAAAACCAGAAACACAAAAACAACCTCCTATCATTTTTGTATTCCTGACTTCTGCCAAATAAAACACGCCAACATAATGAAGCATATGTGGTGGGTGAAAACTGGGGAAGAGCACACACACTGCTGGCTCCAACCACCGAGGCCCACAGGGCTGGCCTGGGGGTATCTTCTTTAGGATAATTCTAAGGAAGCAGAAATTCAGAGCACACTAATGAAATGTGCAAATGATACTGAGGGTAGACTGTTCTTTACTCAAGATAACCTTCCTCTGCTGGGAAAAAACAGACTGTTCACAAAGGATAAAATTCACTGGGTATGAATAAAAAGTGACAAAGGACCAGGCGCGGGGGCTCATGTCTATAATCCCAGCACTTTGGGAGGCTGAGGCGGGTGGATCGCCTGAGGTTGGAATTTCAAGACCAGCTTGACCAACACGGTGAAAACCCCATCTCTACTAAAAATACAAAAGTTAGCAGGGTATGGTGGTGCATGCCTGTAATTTTAGCTATTCAGGAGGCTGAGGAAGGAGAATTGCTTGAATCTGGGAGGTGGTGGCTGCAGTGAGCTGAGCTCTTGTCACTGCTCTCCAGCCTGGGTGACAGAGTAAGACTGTCTTAAAAAAAAAAAAAAAAAAGTGACAAAGAACAATAATTTGTACATGGGATAGAGAAGCCCGTATGAGCCTAAACACGGGGGGAAAAAAGATCACAGAAGGGAAGGAAAAAAGTACTTTAACAAAGTAAGGGTTGGGGGCAGCGTAACTGAATATGGTACGAGAGGATGTTGTACACATTCCCTTTAATTAGAAACTCAGTAGGTGCTGTGTCTATCTGGCTACCATAGGACTGAAAGGGATTCAATGCACCCTAGACTGCCTGTGTCACAACCCTGGAACGTTTGGGAAGCACCATTCTAAGGCACCGTTGGGGATATTGTAAAGGTTATTTCCCTCTCCTTCCTTTATTTTTGGTCAGGTGAATTACATTCAAGCATGCATCGAAATAACCCTAAAAAGGTTCACTAACTTCATATTGTTTAATATTCCATCAACTCTAGGGTTTGATCAATTTTCTGATATAATAAAATTTTGTTGGCTGGGCGCGGTGGCTCAAGCCTGTAATCCCAGCACTCTGGGAGGCCGAGGCGGTTGGATCACGAGGTCAACAGATCGAGACCATCCTGGTCAACATGGTGAAACCCCGTCTATACTAAAAATTACAAAAAATTAGCTGGGCACGGTAGCACATGCCTGTAATCCCAGCTACTCAGGAGGCTGAGGCAGGAGAATTGCCTGAACCCAGGGGGCGGAGGTTGCGGTGAGCCGAGATCGCGCCATTGCACTCCAGCCTGGGTAACAGGAGCGAAACTCCGTATCAAAAAAAAAAAAAAAAAAATTTTGTCAAATATCATATTACTTCAATTTTTTAAAATCTAGTTTTTCCGGCCAGGTGCATTGACTCACGCGTCTAATCCCAGCACTTTGGGAGGCCGAGGTGGGCGGATCACAAGGTTAGGAGTTTGAGACCAGCCTGACCAACATGGTGAAACCCTGTCTCTACTAAAAATACAAGAATTAGCCAGAGTGGTGGCGAGTGCCTGTAATCTCCCCTACCTGGCAGGCTGAGGCAGGAGAACTGCTTGAACTTGGGAGGCACAGATTGCAGTGAGCCAAGATCATGTCACTGCACTCCAGCCTGGGCAACAGAGTGAGACTCTGTCTAAAAAAAAAAAAAAAAAAAAAAAAAAGTCTAGTTTTCTTCTCAGATTTTGTACTAGACACTTTAGACAACATGAGCTTGGGCTTGAAAACTTGTTTAACTTTTAGAATGTCATTTCACCCAGCAACAGGCAGAGGGTGACATGTGAGAAGTATATAACGTTTTGTTACCAATTTTGAAAGTGCTGTACTAAGGTCCTTGCATCCTTCTGTCTTTTACCACTATTACTCTAAACTTAGCAATGCAACCGATTTGACTTTTAATAATGCCATCTTCTCATCACAGACACAGAAAAACACCAAAATGAAATTTCCATAGTATTGTGAGGAAAAAAAAACAGATTATTTTTATTCTTACTGCTTGAATGTCCTGAATCAAATAAAATTTATAGAAAAAAACACTGACATACCACTCAGCAAAAATCTGGGAAAACTCCAGTGAACTGTTAGCCACAGGGGAGATGAAGTAGAGGGGGACGCTGGAGAGCCCGGCCGAGTCTATGTACTGATACAGGCACTCCAGGAGGTCATAGATCACTCCAGAAGGATAGCAGGGAACCAACACGTTTCCTCCATTCCGGACTGTCAGAGCTAGAAAAGTGGATGCCAGAAGAGAAAAAAAACATCGCATCAAAAGGACGGTGTTACAAAGACAGACTATAACTTGTCAAGTAGGATTTGCATTTGTTTTCCTACTTCTGTTTTCAAGATTCACTCACGTGTCTAATCATCTGCTTCTTTTGAAGAACACACCAAAGCAGGGGATGCTATAGGCAGAGACCTATTTTTTCATCATTGTCTAATCTAGGTCCCTGGGAAAAGAGTATGTGATTAGAGGTTTGGGTTTTTCCCGATGTCAGCTAAGCTTCAGGACAGAGCCTCCAAGCTCCTTCCTGTTTCAGAGTCTGCTCAAAAATGTGCTGGATTTGTCTCTGTTCAGTCTCTGACCATGGCTGAATGACCTATAAGGAGATAGGCTGGGTTCTTCTGTTTACCATTTGTCTGCAGTAACGAGATAGTATTTGATTTTCTTTCATTAACATTTGTCTGCAGGAAAATCCCCTATACTTTAAATATTCAGCTCATATTGCTGCTGTAACCTGAGTGCTGGTGGACTTGTTATTTCTAGAGGATGGTGCAGTGGAGAAAATCAACATCGCTGGTCATAGCTCAAGGGCATGGCTCGAATCCTTTGTCCCAACCCAAGGGACCACAATAAAGCTGCTACAACCTTCCTTGGCCTCAGTTTCTACATCAGTTACATGAAAATAATGAATGAGATCAGTAGTTTTCAAGCTTCGGTTTGTGTGAAAAATGCCAGAGAACATGTTGAAAATGCAGCTTTATCTCCAGGCATCTCCTTTCCCCAGAGAGTCTGACTTTCTGACTTACTAGGTCTAAGTTAGGGCCTGGCCCCCAAACATGTAATTTTTTTTTTTTTGAGGCGGAGTTTCCCTCGTTACCCAGGCTGGAGTGCAATGGCGCGGTCTTGGCTCACCGCAACCTCTGCCTCCTGGGTTCAGGCAATTCTCCTGCCTCAGCCTCCTGAGTAGCTGGGATTACAGGCACGTGCCACCATGCCCAGCTAATTTTTTGTATTTTTAGTATAGATGGGGTTTCACCATGTTGACCAGGATGGTCTCGATCTCTTGACTTTGTGATCCACTCGCCTTGGCCTCCCAAAGTGCTGGGATTACAGGCTTGAGCCACCGCACCCGGCCCAAACATGTATTTTTAATAAGTAACCCCACTGATCTTAAGACGTGGACCCCACTCTGTGAGACCAAATTAGATGTAAGGTTCCTTTCAAGCCTGCAGTTCTCTGAGTCAATGATTCTAGGTCATAAACAAACAAACAAACACACACACACACACACACACACACACACACACACACACACACACACACAAGACTCTATTTGAGATTATTCCAATTATTTTTCTAAGGTACAAATAAATTACCTTTAGGTTAGTATCAAAGAACAAAAACAGACTAGGTTTATTAGCATGGCTAAGTGAAATTTCAAAGAACAGTGCTATCCATGTATATAGAGCAAGATCGTGGTAATCTACATCAAGAAACGCCTACGCTGACACCCTGATCTCAGACTTCCCAGTCTCCAGAACTGTGAGAAGTTAATGTCCGTGGTATTTTGTTACAGCAGCTCAAACTAAGACAGTAACCAATCTATTTGTCTAAATGAGAGGCAGAACTTCCAGAGTTAGTGACAGTTATAGAAAAAGGAAAATAAATTTCTTCCAGGTAGAAAATGCCCCACAGCTCTCTTAGTCTTTTCCCAAAAGAAGAAAAAATCAAACCAACTAAATATTAGTGGGGAAATAAATATACCTGTTTTGCCAGGCGCGGTGGCTCATGCCTGTAATCCCAGCACTTTGGGAGGCGGAGGTGGGCGGATTGCCTGAGGTCAGGAGTTCCAGACCAGCCCGGCCAACATGGTCAAACCCCATCTCTACTAAAAATACAAAAATTAGCCAGGTGTGGTGGCACACACCTGCAATCTTAGCTACTCCGGAGGCTGAGGCAGGAGAATTGCTTGAACCCAGGAGACGGAGGTTGCAGTGAGCCAAGATCACGCCACTGCACTCCAGCCTCGGTGACAGAGCAAGACTTCATCTCAAAAAAAAAAAAAAAAAAAAAAAAATATATATATATATATATATATATATATATGACAAAATAATTCTATATTATATTATATATAAACTGTTCACTATATCGCCGTTGTGAATTCAAAGTGTAACACTCTTTTCTGCACTATTATCTGCAAAGCTGTACCGCCTCCCTTAAACTGACAGCTGCTAGCCTGTAAGCACTCCTTCCTTCCCCCATTATTGTAAAGTATTACATTTATTATTGTAAAATAAATCCAAGATAGACCATCCAACATTAGATGAGAGATGGCTGCACACCTAGGTTGCTGCAGAACTCTCCCACCATGCCATCTGGGTTTGCAGTGGGGATCTGGGTAAGGCCTGTCAGAACAAGAACATCGCTGTTTTTGAGAGAAGCTTGGTCCATGGGCTGAAAAAGAACAGAGAAATATGGTTAGCAATTTTAAAAGGAACATTACCTACAAACAGTGAAGGAATAAGAGAACACAGACATTGCTCTACGTTTAACCATCATCAAGTTCTGTCGGGTTCTCTAAAGGGTAGTTGGTCCTTAACCACTTAACCATTGGCTGCCTAAGTTGGGTGGGGACTGATGAAAGGAGGCATGAGGGAGCTCTATGGAGGGATGGACAAGTTCTATAGCTTCACTGGGGCAGTGATTATATCATATCAGAATTCAGTTTTGTACATTTAAGATATTTGTGTTTTACCATATATACATTTTACCCCCGTTAAAACAAGGTATCTGACATTTCTGTAATGCTTTCTTATTTTCTAAATGCTATCTCACACATCATCAGTGGTTTCCAAGCTTCACGTGAGTCAGAATCCCCTGAGGGCTGTGCTAAAACATGGATTGCTGGGCCCACTCCCAGAGTTTCAGATTCAGATTCGGGTGGGGCCTGAGAATCTACATTCCCAAGAGATGCTACCCTTGCTGGCCTGGGGAATCACACTTTGAGAAGCACACATTATAGAATTTGATTCTCAAAGGAATTTTGAAGCACAGGAAACAAACATACGCTATGGGAATATGGAAGCTGGGACTCAAAGACGTAAGGAAATTTACACTAAGTCCTAGTGCCATAGAAGCCACAAAGAACCCTGGATTGGGAATTAGAGGGTCAAATCTACTCCCAATTCCATGACCAGCCTCATGATCTCAGTCAAGGCTCTGAGTTGGTTCTTGACTCATCTCCCTGAAATGGCTTCTATAAGTCTTAAAGGTTAACATCCACGATCTTCTTGTGAACTAGAAAATCCCAGGACACACTACTCTGTGATTCTTAGGATGCTATGTTTTTATTTTTACTCACCACAGCTTGAATTTAATTTTGATTGTTTTCAGAGCATTTAAAAAAATATTACCCTTTCTAAATAAATTAAGATTAAAATAAGAAACCAAAATGAGGGCCCATGGATGGAGAAGCTGGAGAGCTCACAGGAGAGCTCAGAAAGGCTTCCATCTGTAACACATCCTTTCTTCATCTCCACTGAAAGTACCCCGTGGATCCTCAGAAGAAAAAAGCCAGCAACACACTTTACTAAGAAGGCTTCCGCCTCTTTTTTCTGTCCCACCCGATTTCACAATAAATAAAATTCCAAATAAAGCAAAGTCTCATCATCTGTATGGTGGTCTCTGAGTAGCTGTGCCTTTTGAGTATTTTCCTTTCACCTTCTCTTATATATAAGCATGGATACATGAGCTTCATTATTTTTTAAATAACATAATTTTGGTCATATGTTATAGGCAGGTTTATATCCTGAAAAATATTTCTTTAATATGGACACAGGAAAAGACCAGTGGTGGAGACAGCTGTATGTGAATAGCTTCTATTTTCTATTTGCACGAGCATATTCCAATGGATGTAAGAGCGTTTTCTCTGCTTGGCCAGAACTCGTCTATTTGTACTTCTCCAACAAATACATATGTATCCATTGTTTCCAGAGAAGAGAGGAAGGGAAGTACAGCACAGTGATTCTTAGCAGCAGAAGTGTAAGGGGCCTCGGATTGTTTCTCATGTGTGAGTATCAACTGGAAAGAAACTTGAATGGTGACAAAGGAACCTAGCATCAATGGGTAGCACAATTACCTTAAGATGGCAACCATTTTATATGGACCTTGTTCGAATAAGCCAATAATAATCCTGAGAGCTGAAGGGAGACCAGGGACTTTAGAGGACCCAGGAAACTTCTGAAATGGTATATACAATTCTGTGTATACTTTTCTTATTTTTTTGAGACAGCTCTGTTGCCCAGACTAGAGTGCAGTGGTGCCATCTTGGCTCACTGCAATGTAGGTTCAAGTGGTTCTGCTGCCTCAGCCTGCCGAGTAGCTGGGATTACAGGTGCTCGCCACCAAGCCTGACTAATTTTTGTATTTTTAGTAGAGACAAGTTTTCACCATGTTGGCCAGGCTGGTTTTGTACTCCTGACTTCAAGTGACCTGCCTGCCTTGGCCCCCCAGAGTGCTGGAATTATGACGTAAACGAGCCACCCTGCCCAGCCTCTGTGTATACTTTCTATAAATGTAACTCAGTGGTGAAACAAGGCCATGACCCCCAAAAGATTAAGAACTACTGATGCACATGTGAGCTCAACATTTGAGGGTACAGTGAACTATGTTCATTCACACCATTGTACTTCAGCCTGGGCAGCAGAGCAAGACTCTCTCTCTCTCAAACAACACAAAAGAACTATTGATCCAGACAGAAACAATAACACAGAGCAAACTCTGAAAACATTACCTCTTAACCTTAGCCATCAGCATCTTCTTCCTTTGAAAATTAAATGACCACCAACAAACAGACAGAGGCAGTGCTACAGTCACCGAGTTGGAACCGTTGTCAGATAACCTCATGATCAGGTCAGACTGGATGTTGGTAATTTTAGCCCTTAACTCAGAGACATTTCTTGTTGATTCCCAGGGCTACTGTGAAGAAGCAGGCTTAAAAGGCTTCTAGTGACACTCCCCAAACCAAGCTGATGCCTCAGACATCTCCATTTCACCACAACAGGGCAAATGTATAGATTACACGTGTCAATGACCACTGGAACATTTTGTTCAAACACACACACAAAGAAAAACCCATCTTGTCCAAGTACCAACTAAAAATACCTTATAAAGTTGACAGTTACAAACAACTGATTTTTTTCCTTGGTCACTTTGCAAGCTGGAGACCCCTGGCCAGTGACGCCTCACCCGGGCCTCACTCAGCCACACGAGTGTGCCGCAGCTTATCTGTTATTGCTCAGTGGTTCCCGAGCTCTTGTACAGCACCCAAGAAGAATGAGAATACAATGAACATTGAAGGGTAAGGAGGGCAAAGAAGAATTTTATTGAGCGACAGAACGTCTATCAGCAGAGAGGGGATGTGGGGGTGGTCCCCTGCCCTGCAGTCAGGTGGTTCTCTCCTCTTATTGACTGGATCTGGGGTCTTTACAGGCAGAGGATTGGGCATGCATGCTGACTGGTTTGTGAGTATACAAAAAAGGTTAAAGCAAAGATACCACTAAAAGATGGATCTCACAGTACAGAAAACCAATTAGGAAAGGGTAGGTATATGTCAAACAGGTGAAGGGTAGGGATCAATCAGGGGAAAAGTGCACCAAACAGGAAGACAGATTCTCAATCTGGTCCAAAGATTTAACTTGTAGCTTGGCTTTCAGGCTTGAAACTGTCTTCCACTTGGAGGTAGGGTTGCACTGGGTACCCACTCCTGTCTGCCCAGGCATTGGCTGCCTCCTGTTGCTATCACAAACCGGAGGAACAATATTTTGATAAACCCCAAGCCTAAGAGGGCTGTGGCCATGGTGTCAGGCCTCTGATGCTTCATTTTGATTGAATGCATGGCACAAGGCCTGAGAAGAAGAAGACCTGGTCCCTAGAAGCATATAATCCAGTTGAAGAAAACATTTATGCATAATTTTTAAAAACAGATTTTTCAAAAAGCCACAGAAAGTATCATGCACATTTTAAGAGTTTGCACTGAGCATACAGATGCCAAGAGGAATGCCCATTAGCCAGCTGCACCAGGCCAGGTGAGATCAGTAATACACGGCTTTTTGGCAGATGACGTTTTGCTCCAGTTCTCTTTTCTTCCTTGGCTAAGGAACTTAAGACTCAGTTTCAACAGCATGGGTCACTCACTGCCTTTGGAACATCTCCCAGACATAACTCCCTTCCCCTATACCAAGCTGTCCCTTTAACATGTGCCCTGGGGCATCTAATACTTTCCATCTCAGAACTGATCACTCCAAACTTCAAGTACCATTTACTTGTCTGTGTCCCCACGGGACTCTGAAGCTCCGTGAAGGAAAGAACATTGTTTCCCCGTTGCCTAGCAAAATGCCTGGCAGACAGCATTTACTACACAAACGTTTGCTGAACAGACAAATACATAAAAACAACACGGTCTGGTAGAAAACATGAGAATTTCATACTGGGAGAGAGTGCAGTGGGAGCCAGGAAGGTGAGAGGAAGCACTGCCCACTGCAGAAGGGGCGGAAGACACGCCTGGAGGGCCAGGGGAAGGCAGAGTGCAGACACCAAATGAATCTACTCGGCCAGGATGGAGAGTGTACTTTGGGCCAGAGAAAGGAGTCAAGTAAAGACAATGCAATTGGTAAGGGGCGAAAAAGGTCAGCATCATGCCCATGGACAGGGCGAGCAGGGAGGAGCCAACAGTCTGAAGCTGCAAATGACATTCTGGTAACAGCAATTAGGAGATTTCACTAAAGGAGGGCAGTGAGAGCAAGCAGAGAAAACTTTTAAGGCCCAGGTAGCAGTCCAGACACAGAGAAACAAATTATAACATCATGGCAGGTGAGGAGATGGAAGCAGCAGATCCACTCAACTGATCACCCGCACCCTGGAGAAAAGTTCTGTATGTACACACCTGCTCCCCCATTACACCTTCTGTGAATTTCATGTTTCTTCTACAGCCTTGCATACTCTGTTCCCACAAGTATGGGTTTAGGAATATCACTAACTACATGCGGTAATGAACGAACAACTAAACAAATGCACATAATGGTACACATTATTTCAGGAAGAAGGAAATATTCAGCAGAGAGAAGCTGTACAGCTAGATAACACAAACAAGACACCAGGAGTGGAAGGAAACAGGTGGAGGGCCAGCAAATTGTCCAGTCTCCCGCTCCTTGCTTCGTGGGACCAACCTCCAACTGATCCACGGACTATTAGTAGCTCAGCTTCCCTGCTGCCCTTGCCGCCATTAGGTTTAGCTTTTACTGTAGAGCTTCCAGATCAGAGCATAGTACTGGGGAAATTCAGGGGGAAGAAAACAATACAAAAAACAAAACAAACCTCCCCAGCAACTGCCTTAGTTCTTAAAAATTCGACTCAGCTGGGCGCAGTGGCTCATGCCTGTAATCCCAGAACTTTGG